CATGGGAAGACCCAGAGGAAGCTCCTGGCTTCAGATCAGCACAGCTCCAGCTGTTGAAGCCAACTGGGGAGTGAACCAGGGGATGGAAGACCCCTCCTTCTCTCCCTCCCTCCCTCCCTCTCTCTCTCTGCCTCTCCTTCTTCCTCTGTGTACTTTCAAATAAATAAGTCTTTTAAAAGAAAAAACTGTCATGACTAAGAAATGCCATACCTGTTCATCAAACTCTCCATTTTTATTTCAAAGGTCTGGTTTTCAATCAGTTGAAGCCGGACACCCAGGAGTCTAGCACGACTGGCCTGTTTGCCACCCACGGCTTCACATTATGATCATGGAAGTGTCTAGAACATGTACTGTTTAAGACAACTTGCATCATGTTGTAAATGAACCCAGATGCTTATGTTATAACCCTAACTGTCGAGGGCAGCCTTTTGACATGAGCCCAGGACATGCATTGCTCGTTAACGTTACCAACAACAACCATCCCATCACCAGTCCAGCTGTGCGTGGGTCTGGTGGACCTCACCTTCATCTCGGGGTACATGTAGCGGTGGATGGAAGGCAGCCAGCACACAGGGGGCAGGCTCCCGCCTCTCCCAGGACCAGCATGCAGCACTCCCTTCTTGTCCTCGTAGAAGGCGGCCAGGTGAGAGTAATGCCCCGGCGTCTCCAGCTGGTGTCTGCACAAGACACACACACAGTCAGTGCAGCTCTGTAACTTACTCCCCCTCCAAAAGCTGCAAGGCAAAGGCCCCGATGGGCTCAAAGCATGGCCACGTAGAAGATCAGTAGGAAAGCCCCTGACAGCATCCTGTAACACACTCCCCTGCCCGTGGGAACAGCCGGAACCAACAGAGGATGACTAATGCCTATTGTTCGGCAGCAAGGTATGCGAAGGCTCTGCTGCCGCTTGTTTACTCTGGGAAGGGGCGGCTGGGAAGACTACAAATCCCTGCTTTCATAAACTCGGTCTTTGTTTGGAACTCATGCTTGCTGGCTTTGTTACTACGAAAGAGTAAGGAGACACTCGGCCCTGGATGTCTCAGATACGGGAAAACAGTTATTATTAGATCTCACTGAGGGCTGCTCATTTCTGCAGCAATCAAGAAGAAATACAAAGCATCAGGATCTGTTCATTCCCAACCCTCCCCCTGCTCCGGTTAGAACTGTGGCTCTGGGTAGACACGCCTAGCGACCCCCAGAGAAAGCAGCATTGAGGCCCCAGACCACGTGGACAACAGGGAAACCCGCCTCCAGGGCACATGCAGCTGTGTTGTGAGGCTGTTAGAGCTAGTTTAAAGCGTTGTTATGGGTTGAATTGTGTCCCCCCGAAAGATATGCAGGAGATACCCCAAGTAACGTGGAATGTGGCCTCATCCGGACAGGTTCTTAACAGAATTAACCAAGTTAGAACGCCGTCAGTAGGGTGGGCCCTGCGGACACACACACACAGAATGCCATCTGAACACGCAGGCAGAGATTAACATGATGGTCTACAAACCAAAACGCAGCAATGCTAGCAATTCAGATGTGCAAAGAGGAACCCAAAGTGCTTCCTTTACGTGCAAATAGGACCGTCCTTGAGTGGCCTGCCGAGGCTGCCAAGACTGACGGTAAGGACAAAGCCATCTGTCAGTTACGACAAAGGACAAACAATCCGTGCTTGCGAGCTCTGATGTGGCACCTGAAACAGCGCCTGACAAGCATGACTCGCTCACGTGGAGACGGCACTACACGTGTGTGTAGGCATGTAAAGGAGAAAACATCGTACACACAGCGCTCAGTGGGGGTCTTGGAACCCACCCACTGTGAGTAGGTGTCGAGTAGCAAATGTTACTACTAGACGTGGCTGGCTGGACTTTTCAACGTTTTCTAGAATATCTGTATGTTAGTTTTATGAGTAAACTCCATCTTTTAAAACTCTGCACTATGGAAATTTTCAAACAGAAAGTAGAACAAACCCCACGTATTCATCACCCAGCTTCGATGACGGTCAGGATTTGATCCATACGTTGACATCTATCCCCCTTCTACTACCACTGCCTCTCCTGAAATGCCCTTAGCAAACTGCACATCGTAACATTTCACTCATCTCGTTATACTTTTCTGATAGTCTGCTTAAAAAATATCACAGCACGTAACCCCCACGCCATCACCCCACCTAGCAGAGTCAGTGACGACGCCGTAACACAAACTGATCACATCAGATGGAGCTGACGGTGCCCAACGTGCCGTGTCTGCACTGGTTTGTCTGAACTGACACCTAAGCAAGACCCCAGAATGCAGCTGCCTGTCCCCTTTATGCCCTAACAGGTGCTCTTCGCTTTTCTAATTTAATGCTTTCATTTCTATAATAGTTCTCCACTCTCTTCTGGTTAATACAAAATAATTATAGAAAGGACACCCTGGAGAGAGATTGACTAAAGTGACAGAAGAAATAACGACAAGTTAGCTTGTGACATTGAAGTCTGAATGAATAGAAAGCAGACACTCATGTTGGAGAAACCAGGTCTAAATAAATATCAAAGCCACTGCTGTGTCACGAAATATCCTTGCCTGCACCCGGGCCTATGTGAACTCCACCGCTCGCTTTCCTTACTTTCTGTTGAACAAGTGCCTTTTCTCACCCAACTCCCCAGTCCTCTTTAATTACCAAGCTGGAACACCTTCCTTGTTATGACTAAAATCCAGAAGCCACAGATGATTAATGAATTCAAAGAAGAAAAACATGTACACGACAAGAGAGTAATGTTAAAAGAAAAATGATGAGGTGGAAACTATTTTCAATTTATTACACAAAGAACAGATTTCCCTATTACACAATAACTAGAAATAAAAAAGGCCAACAAAATGTAGCAAAGGCTGGAAATGGTTCACAGAACAGAAGATACAAATGACTCAAACATTTACAAAAGCGTTCAACCTCCCTTATGATAAGAAAAATGCAAATTAAAACTATACTGATGTGCTCTTCTGCATCCATCAGAATGTCAAAACCTCAAAGCTCCCCTATCTGGATTGGCAGTGCCGTAATGGAACATTTTCCTGCATTAACGTTGAGCACCCAAATGCACAGCCTCACAGATGGCAACGTGACAGCACCTGTCGAGATTACAAAGACACACACCCTTTGAACTGCCAATTTCATTTCGGGAAATTTAATGTGCAGATACACCACTCAGGTGTGAAATCACACTGTTCCTAAGTGCAGTGTTATTTCTAACAGCAAGACTGGAAACAATCTAGCAGTCCATCAATGATGACCTGATAAACAAAGTGCTGCTCTATACAAGGCATGAGACACAACTGTAAAACCTAACAAAGAAGGGGGTCAGTGCTGGGGTGTAGCGGATAAAGCCGCTGCCTGCAGTGCCAGTACCCTATACGGGTGCTGGTTCAAGTCCCGGCTGCTCCACTTTGGATCCAGCTCTCTGCTATGGCCTGGGAAAGCAGAAGATGGCCCAAGACCTTGGGCCCCTGCACCCTCGTAGGAGACCCAGAAAAAGCTCCTGGCTCCGGAACACCCCAGCTCTGGCCATTGTGCCCACTTGGGGAGTGAACCAGTGGATGGAAGACCTCTCTCTCTCTCTCTCTGCCTCTCCATAACTCTTTCAAATAGATAAATCTTCTTAAAAATAGTTAAGAAGTTTCCGTGTGAGCTCTCCCACACTGTGGGGAAGAGAGAGCCTAGATGGAAAGCAATGGTATGACGTGCTGTCTTTTGCATGAAGAGAGACTGTAAGGGTCCACATCTGTATTTCTGTATGCACACACCCAAATTCCAGCAAGACAAATGAGACACTGAGAGTGACCACTGCGATGGCTGAATGGGTGTGGCACCTGGGTGAGGGCGGCTCCTGTGAGGCCACTGGTACCGACCGCCACTCTCCTCCTTTAGGAGTAGGCCTTCCAGACTGTAGAGGGTCACGTGGACACCCAACGCTCACAGTTGCCAGACTCCCTTGACAGAAGGTACAGTGGGTGGCCAAAAACGGGCAAAGTCTCCAGCCCTCTGCGATCTCCGGTCTTTCCTGTCCTGTAAAGGGTGGCACATGAGCTGGTAGCAGTCCCAGCCGCCTCCTCACACGGGACTGCTTCTGTCGGAGACTCTCGCCAAGTAAAGCTGCCATCCACTACCTTGCTCGAGCCACGGCACTTTGGTTCTCTGCTTTGTTACAGCCACGCAGCCGGTATTCTAGCTACAGCAGCAATGATATCCAGAAACGAGTTACTGCAGTATCAGAAACCGCACTGTGGGGCCGGGTGCTGTGGTGCGGCGGGTTAAGACACTGCTTGGAATCCCCACCGAGTGCTGGTTGGTGTCCTGGCTGCTCTGTTTCTGATCCAGCCTCTTGCTATTGCATCCGGGGAAGGCAGCAGATGACGTCCCAAGTGCTCGAGTCCCCGTCACCCATATGGAAGACCTGGATGGAATTCTGGGTTCCTGGCTTCAGCCAGGCCCAGCCTGGGCTATTGTAAGTGTGGGCAGTGAACCACTGGATGGAAGATTCCTGTCTCTCCTTCTCTCCCTGAACCCTGCAATCCCCACCTTTCAAGTTGATGAAAATAAACTTTTTAAAAACCGCATTGTGGTTTGGCATTAGTAGCTGGAAGTGGAGGGTGATAACAGGCTGTCAACCACGATGCTGGTAACCTGTATATTGCTGCACGACATTTGGCTACAACTTCTCTACTTTGCATAACCGACCCTGTGTGACCTGCAAACACAGCTCCAGGGGAAGCGATTATAAACCGAACGTGAGGGGCACGGGGGCCGGCGCTGAGGTGGAGCAGGTAAAGCCGCCGCCTGCAGTGCCGCCATCCCATATGGGTGCCGGTTCAAGTTCCGGCTGCTCCACTTCCAATCCAGCTCTCCGCTGTGGCCTGGGAAAGCAGTGAAAGATGGCTCAGGTCCTTGGGCCCCTGCAACCAAGTGGGAGACCTGGAAGAAGCTCCTGGCTCCTGGCTTCAGATCCGCACAGCTCCAGCCATTGCAGCCAAATGGGGAGTGAACCAGTGGATGGAAGACCTCTCTCTCTCTCTCTGCCTCTTCTTCTCTCTGTGTGTAACTCTTTCAAATAAATAAATCTTTAAAAAAAATAGAAAGGTAACGTGAAGGGTGTTGACTGCCTGTTGGTGCTCTGAGTGAGCTACTGTAAAAGACGAAGCAGGCAAGACGTGGTCAGTCCGTGAGCAGGAAGTCAGGGGAATACAACCGAGTGAGGGTGACGTGTTCCAAGTTGTCCAATTCACTTCGGTTGAGACTCCAAAAATCTGGGGTTCCAACCAACTAGAAAACCCACTGCCTCTGTGTCCCAAAAGTAGGAGACAAGAGCCCCTCTCAAGGTTGCTAGGAAAGTCTTAAGTATTCTTAGGCAGACAGGAGTGTCTGCCTACTTGCAAAGATCAAATTTATGGTACAGCCTCCAAGGAGCTGCTCTGAAAATACGGGAAAGACGGGCCAGGAATACCAACCAGCAACTAACGTGGGATCCACTGACCTCAAGGGCAGGTAGGCGGTGGATGGTTTCACCCAGGATTGACTGAACACAAACAACCCAGAGGCCTGCTTGGTTTCTGAGGGACAGGTGTTGGTACACGCCTGGCCTGCAAACGCCTGGGACTCCTTAGCCCTAAAGAAACCACTGGACCCCTGAACCTATGCAGCAGGAGGCGTGCT